ATATCGAATATAACTTTTATGATATTTCCATCTAAATATGATATTTCCATATAATACTTGACTTTTGAAATACAGAGCAAGTGTATATGGGAACACCGCTATAGCGCGGAAGTGGCTGCAAACTTCCATCTCATAGCTCGAAAGCGGTTGTCCCATTGTTTCTCCAAAGCTAGGCAGTTTGAACCAGAAGCCTGGCTGGATGCTTCAGGATTTATGGGATGATTTGCAAAGGCAATGGCTTACAGCAGAGTTCTTAGAGAAGAGCGAAAAAGAAAAGAAAGCCCGGCCATCTGAGAAGGGAGGATCCTTGCAAACTGGAGGTGCGGTCAGCCTAGGGACGATAAAACGAAGAATGGTACGTAATTGCTTAATTTACTTTAATTTTCTTAGTATATGTATTCTGTTTGTTAACTAAAATTTATAAGTTTTCAGGAAAAAAAGTTGGGGCATCCGATGAACCAAGATGAGCTCTTCAAGGAGACTCATATTGTGAAGAAGAAGAAAGAGACGGACCAAGAAAGGTGGGTCGTGGGTCGAGGGCCGAGCCTCGACTGTACATGTAAGTTTTCACTTTTTATTAAGAATTTTGATTTTCTTTTATATATATAAATTTGGAAATAGTAATTCACATATTATTTTTCTTATAGGGTCGCTTCACAGCTGAAGTGGAGCAATTCATACGCAGTCAGCCACCTAGTGAGTCCGGCGCGCCAATCCAACTATCGGACGAGGATGCTGAGAGAATGTGGACGCAGGCTGCTGGCGGTCCAAAAGGGGGAAAGGTATACGGGCTTCCTAATAAGAAATTCCATCACTATAAGTGTGGAATGCAAGGAATAGGGACTTCCTCCCAAGCCGAGCAACTTGATGGGGAGAGCCTCTCCTCTATGCGGGAGACTGTGGCAAAGCTCACATCCGAGCTAGAAGCCGCCAAGGAGAGAGAAAGGCTTAGAGATATGCAGTACTCTGGCATGCAAGCTCAGTGCAAGGGCATACAAGAGCAGATCAAAACTCTCCTAGCTTCTGGCAATTTTCCAATTCCCCGGTCTCGTGAGTCATCGCCAGAGGCTCGCCTTCCCCGTGCTCATTCCCCCCGTCCTCCCCGTGGTCATTCTTCCCATCATCGACAAATAGCCCATTCTAGATACCGTCATGGTGAAGAAAGTTCATCAGACGGTGATGATAATGATGTGGAGAACAATCTTTGAACTTATAAGTTTATGCTAGACAAATACAATTGGTTTTCGAATGGTTCTGTAATAACATTTAACTTATTAGTTTGCTAATTAGCTTAAAGTATAAATTTCTATTGAACTTTATACTTTGTTCGTTATAATTGTTGTTGTTGTTGTTGTTGCTTGTTGTTGCTGTTGTTGGCATATTTGCCTATTTAGGATTTTGGTAAGCCGGCAGGTGGTGTAGCTGCCAAAAGAGGCAGTTCCTGCCAGCAATATACCAAGAAAAGCGACCAACTTTGGTCGCTATTTGGTCGCATTTTTATTAAAAAAAACAATTTTCTGTGAAATAGCGACCAAGGTTGGTCGCTATTTAACCCAGATTCCCCAAGTAGCGACCAAGATTGGTCGCTATTTACCAGAAAAATAACAATTTCTGGAAATATGGCGACCAGAGTTGGTTGCTTATTAATAAATAAAAAAATTAATTCATGTATTTAGCGACCAAGTTTGGTCGCTTAATTAAAAAAATAATTAAAAAATTTATAGTATAGCGACCAACATTGGTCGCCATTTTCCAGATTTTAAAATACAATATTTCATATACAGACCAAAGTTGGTCGCTACTTCATAATTAATAAATAAATAAAAAAATGAAATTTACAAAAAGGAGACCAACTTTTGTCGCAAAATTTATAATATTAAAACAATATAGCGACCAAAGTTGGTCGCCAGTGTCTTTACCGGAATATTTGGTCCTTTGACTTGAGAGATCAAAGTTGGTCGCTAATTAGCAACCAACTTTGGTCCCTAAGATAAAGGGACCAGCTTAATATCGACCAGGCACGTTAGGTCGTTTTTTGGTCGCTTTTTGGCCAATAAGCGACCAACTCTGGTCGCTTTTTGGCCAATAAGCGACAAACTCTGGTCGCTTTTTGTGGTCGTTTTTTTCCGGATTTCTAGTAGTGAAATCTCCACATGAGAGGTCACTTTGGCGACATCTAACTTCAATTTATTCATCTCAAAATATATACGTATAATATACCAATATTCAAATCTATTTTCACCGAAAGGAATACCTTAAATACCCGTATCAATACGTACTAATGGCGGGACGGAAATTTAGTTCTTTATACTTAAGTTGTTGCCAAAATTTCTTAATAGTTTATTTGCTACTAAAAAGAAAGAACAAATGAAGTTCAAAGGGATATCTTTTTGACAACAACCCTATGCCGCAAAAGCAATAACCTAAACCAAGGCTTTGAAGTAAAAAAGTGAACGGAGCTTAATCCTCCTTAATTCTTACCCAAAGCGCACGCCACAGTAGCAGTGCCAAAGCCAAACGGAATCCTTTTATTTTATATTATTTTGTTTTAGTTTAATCCTAAAACTAAACATTAATTTTCTGGTAGCAAACTTTGAGGAGAAAAAACCTCCGTTTCGTGGCTCAAAATGAACTTACGGTGAACCTAACCTCTTTAAATTAATCAAGCCATGCTTTCAAGGTCTTAATATAAATGAATCTACAATACATACACTACCATAATAAATATAATCAAACAAACAAATATTGAATTGTAGTTTATTTGTTTGACAAATCAATTAATTGATGCCTTTAAATGGGAAATAAAAATCACAAATCGCTTTCGGGCGGCAGAATCAGTGTGCAATTTGTGTCGTAAAACTACATCTTGATTATAACAACAATATAAAACAGTTGTTTTAAAAAAAAAAAGTTTAACCAAAATCCTACATGGTGCAGTAACTAATCCTCAACAGAAACATTAAGCCGCAAAAATGGCATCTTAAACAGCAACTAACGAAATTTGCCTTTGAAAACCCAAGATTCTTTTCTAGCCGCTAAAACCAGTAACACCTTTTTCAATTACATATGTTTTTCTAACGAAAATCCCCAACTGATTCAACACAATATAGGGTCTGCTACCAATTGTTGGAACCAAATTACTTTAAAGATGAAAAGTACACCTTTCACCTATCATATCAGATCATCCTAAAAGTAAAACTAATACGCCAACTGAATCCACGAAAACAAATGAAACTTGTCGTTTTTTGGTTTTTTGGTTAGCGGTCTTCCAAACCAACACGTAAGTCGTTCTCTCTTTTCCAAAAATGGGATGCTAGAAAAAAAAATCTAATTTGGAGATTATAACCCTATTAATAGGTGCATGAGTTTATGTATTTCTAATTTAGCCATCATCAAATTAGAAACTACATTCCGGTATCTACACATAAAATCCTATACTTTAGGAGATATCTAATAAACCCATTGAACTTTATAATCTTAAAAGATCATTTTCATTTTGGGTCAACCTTTTAATTAAAGCAACCAATATACAAATATTCTTTGATTGATAATTACAATACTCCAAACTAAAAGTCTCACTTGGCCAAATTTTCGTAACAGAGAAAGCAGACTGTAGACTGCCAACTTATAGCTTCTGAACATCAATCCATTGGCATCACTTGGTCTTAGGTTCCAGCTCGCGGATATTTTCTGGGTACAAGACTTTTTGAACACGAGTGTAATCCAATATTATCTTGCTAAGAGCATCCTCTGGCGAAGTTCTCGAGCCGGTAAGGCACAACAACCTCAAAATCCAGTCAACAACTTCTGGGCAGAAAACCTTCCACAAGTAGGTGACCCTGAACCAAGATGGCACAGTAATATATCTCTCTCCGCGACAAGCACCATTAACAATGGCTTTCGCACATTCTTCTACTTTGACTACTGGGGTTATGCCCACTTGAACCTGTTTTATTCAGTAAACACAAATTAGATACTACTATTAGCAATCCATTCGTCTATTCCTTTCTGCCTAAATTTCGGAGGCTGACTCACTTACAACAACAACATGGCTTGATAACCATAATTCAGTAAACACAATTACAGTGATTCATGTGAGCACGGTTCAAACCTGTGTACCACGATTCATTTTGTAGTCAGTGGGGAACTAGGGACACAGAAAATCATATCATTACTCATATCACAATATCATGTAAACTTAAGTTTAATTTAAAGTAAAGTATCCTGAAATATAACTGGAATGGAAACTTACACTACAATCTACTAGACCCACTAAGAATTAAGTTCAATTTAAAGTCAATCTCCATACCTTAATAAGAAAATGTAGTTGGTTGCTAAAACTATCTGAATTCACTAGTAAAAGTAACAGGTCAAATCTTGCAGAACATATTAGAATGGGAAAGTGTACATCTTAATATCTAGGACCTAGCAGTTCATCACACATAATATCTCGAGTGATGGTGGAGAAAAAAATTTATCGACTTCAGGAACATTTGCACCAAATTACATTCTGGTTAAGTCATAAATCAAAGTAATATTATACGATAATAATTTATAACCAAGATTTAGTGATAAAAGTATATGTGAAAAATAACATATCATGTCATTGCAAACTTGCAATATTACAATCAATCAATGAAGAGAGAGAGGGGACAAACTTACATCTCTCATTTGACGATTAACAACCACTTTGCCGGTCTTGTCCATGAATTTCCCTTGTGTCATTTCTGATTCAACGTAGCCAGGTGTGACCAATGTTATCTTGATATCCTGTCCGAATTCAACCCTCAACGTATCGAAAAATTGTGCCATTGCTGCTTTGCTCGCCTACCATAATTAGAAATAGGGGGGTCAAAATGAAATATGAATATGGCCTGGGGGTTAAAATAATAAAACACTAAAGTTGGTGGACTTACACAATAAAGGCTCAATCTTGGAGTAGGCACCCAAGAAGCTGAAGAAGATAGCACAATAATTCTACCTTCACTATATCTCAAATAGGGAACCGCAAATCGCGTCATGTAAACCGAACCCCAGAAGTTAATGTCCTACAAATTCCAAAAAACTACTTCTTCAGGCATCTTTAACTTTGACACTTTTTTATGACAGTGATAGAGTTTGTGACATTTCAACTAATTTCACGTGATATTGGCTACCTCCTATAGGTAGCGAGGATAGGTACCGAGAAACTCTGTTCACTATTTATTGGATGGATGAAAAGAAATCAAACTTAATTTGACACTTCTTCCCGTGCTTCAACATTGCAAAATACCCCATAGATTTATCAGTTTCTTTAAATTGTGGTAGTTACTGGGTTCGGCCAAAGCTCCGCCCCTGGGAGTTCCAATACAATTAAATAATTACCATGACAGATCTAAAGTTAGTGATCTCTTCTGTTTCATCAAACATAGAAACTGCCGTAACTCCAGCATTATTAACCAGATGGTCCACTGCAATTCACACATGGAATTATAAAGTTAGTCAAAACATAATTGAAGGTTACAAAAAGCATTATAAGAAGGAGAATAAAACAAATCGAATCTCACATCGTCCAAAATGGCTCATGGTTTTATCAACAATCCTTTTACAGTCTTCAACTTTTGAAACATCAGCTGGAACGACTAAAACATCAGGGGAGCCAAGATCAAGTGCCCTTTCAGCTACTTCACGTAGACTCTTCTCTCTTCTCGCTGCAATAGTTAAGCATGCACCTCGTCTGGCATATTCATATGCCAAATACTGCAAAATCAAGAATTTAATTCTACCTATCAAACCGTCTACCTCAAACAAAATATCGCAAATAGGTGGAATCGGAATCGGAGACGGATCTAGGATTTCATAAGATTTTTAGAAGAAAAAGAGGGGGAAAAAAAGAGAGAGAGTTTCTAGTGAGAATTAATCCCTCTCCCTTGATAACTCAACATGAACTCAACATGCAACAAGTGTCTTTTTGGAAGATACTATAAAATAATATTAAATCAGTTCTAGAAAGTATGTTCATGAAATACTAGTTGACGGAAAAACTATGGATTATGAATTTCTAAAAGGGGGAGCTAGGTAGAACTAAGGGGTTAAATTGAATCCCTTGTCGAAAAATTATATAGTGCAAACAGAAAAATGCAAAGAGAAAAAAAAGAATTTTATTTGTAAACCGTAGAAAAAATTCTAGTGGAATAATAAAGGGCTTCAATTGAGTTTAGAAACAGGTTAAAATCCAAAATTTAAGTGTGACATTGTATTACATAATTAATCTTTTTGAATCTACTTTTAAAAATTCTTAACTTCGCCGCTGATTTTTAATGCGGGATTTTTAAAGGAAAGAAAATGTAAGTTAATAACCTCGCCGATGCCAGAAGAAGCTCCTGTGATGATGACAACCTTACCAGCAACATCCTCACTAAAAAAAGTGCCTAAGATTGAAAGGAACCACTTGAAAAATTGATAGGGTGGCAAGAAAAACAACAAGCTGAAGAAAGTAAATGGAGGAGCTACTAAGTTGAGAAATATGTGAATTAAGTCCAATAACGCCATGGTTTATTGCTCTTACAGAGAATTGAAACTATGGATTAGAAGGTGTGCAATGGAACTACGTTTATTTAGTGTGACATAAAGAACAAAGAAAGGGAAAAGAAATAGATGGAAATGCATGAAAACGTGGAAGCGGTGTTTGTATATATTTTGTAGTTTGTTTGAAGCAAAATCGACACGTACACTCAGTTCAAACAGTCGTGTCGCTCTTCTCATGCTTGTATCGTTCTTCTTGAAAATAGGATAGGGATAGCAATCAATTTGTGTCAACCATAATCGACAATTGATGAAATAATAATGATGCAATCCTACTCAATTCGTGAACTGGCAAGATTATTTGGAACCTGCAGATGTTTGAAAATTGCGGAAATTAATCCCTGTAAATTCAACAGTTCGTATTATTATTATTATTAATGTCCCATAAAAGCTCTAACATACTTGGGCAAGTTTGTTTTGGTTTAAGAAACAAGAATTTGAAACAACATTTACTATTTTACATTGTAGCATGTTGGAATAATCTTTAACTTGTATTAATTCCTGAATAAAGAAGAATTTAATTCATTAAAAATGTTGTTAAATTATTAGTGTATTTTAATATTCTACTACAGGTTTTTTGCTCTATTTTTAAAGTTAATCATATCAAACTTAAATGAAATACTTAGTTACTTAGTATTGTGTATATATGTAACTTAATTAAAATGGTATAAAGAACTAATTATCAATGTACAAAAGTACTTCAAATCTGAACAAATTATGCAAATTGCAACTGCTTTTTGAACTCTAATTAAGAGACATCACAATGCGCAAATGTATTAAGGAGAGGAAAAAGCCCTCTCCTTAAGTCAAGTGGCAGCCTAAAAAATGCCACATGGCATAATTGGTTACTAATTAGTTATTTAGTTTATAATTAGTTATTGATTACTTATTTTTAAATTTAAATACATATCAAAAAAGAAAATAATAAAATGCAATAAAAAACTACCATATATATTATTAATTGGTTACTTTATTTGGATTAATAAATATAGATATCTTATAATTAAATATAATA